GACGTCACAGAGAGAGCTCTGACACTTATTTAGGGTCAAACTTTTGTCAAGAGTGCTTCATGGGTTCTTCCAATAGGAGGCATAAACGCAGGGCTCGCTGTCTCTGTGACATGAGCAGTCATGTCCCATTGTTGTCTTAGACACGTCACATTCATTTGGAGTTGCATCGTGGTTATAGTTTAGTTCTATTATCCCTTCTGGATCTTTATATTTCAGCAAAATATGGAATAAAAATTAAAATTTCAGCAAAAAACCAAAAAAGGAATATTTCAGCATGAGAATTTCCCCCTCATCAGCAATTCAGCTAACTAGCGAGTTACAATCCATCTGGCAGAGGTAAGTAGCATCTGTCTCTTTCTCATAGGTAACAGTTCTGAAGGGTTCGAGCTATGTCTAGGGAGTGTGGAGGGAGGGAGCCAGGGAGGAGGTGACGGCCATCTAGGAAGGGACCTCAGCCATGGATCGGCCCCTCCCTGGGCAGCCAGCCAATCCTTGCCCCTGAACCTCAGGAATCGCCCTCGAAAGGCTGGAAAGCCCCCCACCCCACCCGCCTGTGCCCTGGGACAGTCATCCCATCAGGCCCCATCCCAGGCGTCCCACACCAGGGGCAAGGCAGGAAAATCACTGCTCCCACCCTCTGCAGAAGGACGCTCTAGTCCAGTCCTGCCTGCCCCCTCCCCGCCTTCTGCCTGTCCTCCTCTGACCCAGGTAATGTCTGCGCCATCCCCAGGGGCTCCCTTCTCCCCGACCCCCCATTTGCTCTGAGACCTTACTCCTTTCATTGCTCTGCCTTCTTCCTGAGCCTTCACCTGCTTCTGCTGCTGCCTATTGGCTGCTTCCCATTAGCACTTACCTGAAATCTGCCCTTGACCTCACATTGCTCTCTAGCTTCCGCCCTATTTCTCTCCACTCCTTTATAAGCAAACTTCTTAGAGTGCTGTCCACACTTGCCGTCCCTGCTCTCACTGCCACTGCCCCCTGGCTCTGTGCAGTGACAGCTCATGGCATGAAGATATACAGGGCCCTGGAAATTTCTTCTCTCCAGCTTCTAGCCCTGGCTGCTGGCCCTGCCCCTGTTTTATTCCCTTCACCTACCTGTTGGATGCAGCTAAGGTGCATCCTCCAAGAAGCCTCCCCTGGCCCCCATATCTTAGATGTTCAGGCATCACATTTCCCATGGCTGAACTCCTGAATTTTGACAGTTACACACATTTCTGACAGTTACAAATGGATGTTTCCACTCCCTGGAAAGTTGTGGCCCCCCTCACAACACAATGTTCATGAGGTGTTGACTTCTTCCTACTCCTTGGGCAGGAATGTCCTCCCAGTCTGCTCCCCCTTCTTGGCAAGGGGCTCCTGAATGGGGAAGAGCTACCCGTAGCCGGCAGGATGTTCAGATGGGGCGGGCAGAAGGAGCAAGGCTACCTACCGGGCCTTGCTAAGGCTCAGGGTGCGGAAGAGGCTCTGTGGAGGGGTCAGGGTTTGGTTTGGCCCCAGTGTCGCTCTGGGATCTACGCGATCTCAGGCAGCTTACCCTCCCTCAGGGGCCTTCTGGGGGCTTTCTGGTCAGGTGGTGATGGTAACACACGGCCTCTGTCTTCCCACGGCTCTCGGCAGTGTCAGAGGCTATCATGTAAGTGACTGGGTTGGGGCAGGAAAACACACTGCATCCGGGTCTCTGTAGGGCGGGGAAGCAGAGGCTCAACCCCTGCACTGGTTTCCCACCTAGTGGGGGGTCATTCCCGCTCAGGATGTTTACTGAAAATCTGTGATAAACCCTCAAATGCGCACCTCTTTTTACTGTTTACAAAAGCCCAGCTCGAGTCTCAGCTAATCCATGGACAGTTCTGCTTCTGAAGGTCGCCAGTGATTTTTTTTAAAAATTTTTTAAATTTATTTTCAGTGTAACAGTATTCATTGTTTTTGCACGCCAGTGATTTTTGAGGCATGCTGGGCCCCCCTAGAGCTCCCAAGGGACCAAGAGACAGGCACAAGTGAGTTACAAAATCTTTGTATCTGTGCTCTGTCTCACTCTCCCATAGCCCCAACTTCATGAGTACCCGCTGTGTGCCCCCAGAGACCTTAGAAAGGGCTGGGGACAGAGCCGTCAAGGCAACTGGAAGGTTTCTGGAAGCAGAGGGTGTGGCCTTGAGGTCAGCAAGCTGTAGAGACTCCTCTGTCTCATGAACAAACATTCTCATACCGTCTGCATGAGAGGTAGGCTGGGGCGGGGACGGAGTCACCTCCCACCACAGTAACAAAGTATGGCTAAGTCCCTCAGCCAAAGAGCAAAAAATCCGTGGACACGAAGTGGTGCCAGTTTCTTTGAGGAATTATGTGTTCCCTATAAGGGAAGGAAACATTTTTTTTTTTTTTTTTGGCAAGTAAAATTTTGAGAGAACGAGTTTATCCCTTAAAATATCAAAACTTTGCCCTTCAGAATCATATATTCCCTTAAAATAGTTTACGTATTTTCCTATCAAACTAAAATTCACTTCCTATCAAACTACAATTAATTTATCCTTTTTCTGATGACAGAGGGCCATCTTTAGCAATGGTAGAAGTCATTCTAGCTGAATTTTTTAAGCTAGCTGGTTTATTAATTTTTGTTTGCAAGTTCACAAGCCCTGTGTGAAGGATCTTGAGGAGACAGCAACGTAGTAACCATACTGCTACCCAGAAATCCCTGAGCAGAAGCGGGCGGTGTTAAATGGTTTAGCCCCAAGTTCTTCACAAGAACTCTGTTGTGACACCCTCTGTCACACAGAGGGTGACAGGTGAGGGTCCTCCGCTTTTCTGCCATGCTCTGGAGCCCAAGGCAAGCTGAGGCAGGTTTTGAAGAATGAATACGAATCTGCTCTTAAGGTAAGAAGAATCTCCGTCAGGGCACAAGGGCCTGGCTTCACTTCTCAGAGGAGCACACGGGCTCAGAGAAGTCAAGGGTCACACAGCCCGGGAGCAGCAGGCCGGCAGGGCAGGAGCTGTCAGGCGGGGGGCTCCTCATACATATGCCCAAACTGTTTCCTTCCTGCTTCTCGAGAATCAGGTTATCCAGTATCTCTGTCCACTCGCATCCTCCATTCCTTCCAGTTTGCTGTCTATTATTAGTGGGGACTGAGGGAAGCTGATTCCAACCGTGTCTTATACAGAACTGAAGGGACCCACGCCTGTCAGGGCCCTGCTTGACTTCTGTGCCCGGGCCCCGCTGACTACAGATGCCTTGCCAACCACCAGCCTTTCACTTTTAGCTATAGACTCAAGACCATTCTTTTTCTGGATCGCTGACATGGCCAGCCTCTAAAATATGTGGAATTATCATGTAGACATGTGTTTTTTATTCATTTCAAATCCACAAGGCTGAGCTGTCTACCTACAAAACTGTAATTAGATGTGCTAGGAGGGGAAAAAAAAAAAGAAAAAAAGAAAATGCTTCTATCTCCTTTGAGCAAAATTAAGAGCTCTGGGCAGTAATTCAACACGCAGTGAGGCAGCCAGAAGCCGTGTAAGAGACTATTTATGGATGAGATGGGCCTGAACAAGCTCATCTGCTAGGTGTTTAAAAACATGCAAATTAAGCTAATCAGGCTTGTAGACCACATCTCAACACTGTGTCCATACCACCCACTAAAAATCCTCGGAACACTTGACGTCTGTTTAGAGCTTAGTTTTTCAAAAGACGGGTTTCAGCCCTGACACATTCTTGATGTGGACAGAAGAAATATCTGCACTTCAGTTGCCCTGGTCTAGATGATGCCAGAAATCGTTGTTGACTGACCGACTCCTCCCAGTGTGCATGGTGCTTTGCAATGATCACGAAGTGCTTTTGTAAAAATATTGAGCTCTTCTAACACTATAATCAGCCCCGTGTGGGGTGGGAGGAGAGTGAGGGAAGTCCCATCCCTACTCCAACACAGCAGGGGCCACATTGAGAGATGAAGTGGCTGTCCCCAGGTGTTAGAACGGGAAACGGTAAGAATAAGTCTTGGGCGTCCTGTCACTAGGCTGTGGCCTCCTGTAGGACAATAGGGACCACTGTTGATGGCACAGGCCCCATACAAACATAAGTGTAAGGATAGAGTTCACTCCCATTTTTTAGATTAAGAAACGGGGGTGGGGGCAGGGTGGAATCCTTACAAGTTCAATGACTTGAGCAGGGTCACAGGTTCAAAGTGGCTGAGTCGGGGCCTTGGGATCAGCTTCTGCAGACCAGATGCTGGCTGCACTGCTCTCAGCCTGTTACCCAGTACCTACCCTGAAAACACCAGGGCGCAAGGGGACACCTCTTTTTCAGACATTTTTCCCTCCACAACAAAATGGGAAAGAAGATTAAACAGGCTCAAGTCTGTTTACTACTACTGAAGTCCAGCCCCAACTTGGCTGCCGGCTGCTACTCAGATCTAATTAAGTTACTCTCCTGCTTTGCCGCCTGGAAAGGGTGCCTCCCAGCTGCCCGCCACAGGCATCTAAATCCGTCTTGCCACCTGAAGGCCTTCTCCACCAGCCTGCAATTCAATCTCTCCTCACCTTTCTTCACATCCGCTCAGGTCTCCAGCACGGGGGAACTTGACGTTTTGCAAACACTTGAGGCCCTGCCTTGTCTCTGGGCCCTTGCCTGTGCTGTGCCTTCCACCCGCAATGTCGTAGACATCTTTCATCTGCATGACCTCCACGAACCTTTCCTGATCCCTGAGTCAGCTAGCTTTCTCTGCATTCCACGCGCTGGTTATATATCTGCCCCATCCCAGAATGGAGCACGCTAAATTCTAACGCAGCAGTACGCCCACCCCCCACCCTCCACCCCTAGAGCAACAGCAGAGGCCAAGGTTTATGAATCTTTGTATTGAACTTGCTTAGCCCAGTCCCTCACAGACAAGACAGAGAGAGGGAGAGCGAGCTTAGTAAATGTGAAATGGCTGGCTGACGGTTTATGAACAAGGTTTTCATAGTTAACTCAGCTTCAACATGAAATTCAAAACAATGAAAAAGACGGGACTCAAACATGGCAGGGGAATAACATACACTTTTACTCTCAAAATAAATACTAATCAATTTTATTTTATAAATACAGATGCTGAGTTTTCTTCCAATTACCAACAGATCAGTTTCACATGCCATTTATTATTGGTGGTGGTTTAAAAAATTATTTAAATAACCGGTTAGGTCAGGATAAATGGGCACCATTAGAACGGCTAAAAAAATATAGCTGGATACAATCTTCCAAAACTAATATTCTGAGGGGGAAAAAATCTCTGGAATTTCTAAAGCGGGTAAGGGGAAGTGGAGAGAGAGAACACAATCAAATCTTCATTTGATAACATTTACTGGCTGTTATAAGGGTCGCAGCTACATGAAAACGGAAAGAGCTTTAAGCAGTTCCGACATGGATAGTAGTGAATTTCATTTCAGCTTGTATCCTCAGAGCAGATTTCTTTTCTTTTCTTTTCTTTGTCTTTAGTGATTTAAAAGACTAATTAAAAAGATTAGTAGGAGATAGTAACTCATCTCATGTTTTGGCCTTGGCCACTTGAAAGAGGCCAAATGAACTCTGTGGCTTTGGAAAACGTGGAGCCGGGCTCCTCCTGGAGACACGTGAGACTGCAGGTCCCACCCAAGGCAAGGCAGAAACAGGAGGCACCAAGCGAACTCAATGAACACCTGAAAGCCCAGAGGAACGCAAACCCAGGGGCGGCGCTGTGAGGTGTAACGTCACTGAGCACTGTGCGGACCCAGCCGACTCGAAGGTAACCGGTTCTGAGCTGCCTAAGGACATTCAGGGACAGGGCTCCGTGCTGTGGGGGTGCAAAGCTGTGGGTCCCAGAATCAGGGAGTCCACAGACGGGAGACTGACAGAGCCCCAGACCCCCGGGCTCTGTCTGGCTGTGTGGAACCTGAGATGAACATTGTAACTAGGGGTGTTCTGCGTGTGGTCCCCCTGCTTGGGGCTGCCAAGACCCAGGCCGGAGGGCGCGCACCTCAGTGTACCCTATCTGTAAGTTTGGCATGAAGTTTAAAGTGCACTCCCCTCTGTGGACCTTGAGCCACATGCGATGTGCATCTCACTGGGCAATACTAACAGTCCTTCCAAAACCTTTTCCTTTTGGGGGGGGCGGAGGGGGGTAGTTCCCTGGAGGGCTCTACACAGCCTAGTCTGAAGGAGAGCCAAGCCCACGGTTATCTCCCCCTCGTGGACTCTAACGTGAGTGACAGTACTCTGCGAAGAAGCTGTGGCTCGACAGATGGCTTCTCCGTTAGGTTTGGAAGTGTTCCACCTCTTTCTGTGGAATAAGATGGATTTCTCCCGATCAAGTTAAAGCTCTTAATTGCTTTCAGGTCGGGTCTGCCTGTCAAGCATGGATTCTGTGAGTTCTCTTTATGTGGAAAGTAACAACACGAACTATTCTGCTTGACGATGTAGTTGTCAATGAGAACTTGAGCCCAAGGGTGCTTGGACAATACAAGAAAAGGATCACGAGAGCTAGGAGATCAGCTGTCGCGCGGGACAGACGCAGCTATGGGACAGGACAGGTGTGAGGGTTTTTGTGTGGCCACGCAAACCGGGTCGACTCAAGTTGACATTAGCGCGGACACTGCTACCCTTTTGGTTCAGGCTCGCCCTGTCCTGATGTAACATGGAGATGCGGGTTCTAGATGAAATTCGAAACTGGAAAAAACAAATCGGGTCAAGTGAAGCAAATTCAGTTTTTATTCTATACAATACATGAATATATGCATAAATTTTCCTTAAAGAGCTTGCAACCCTGAGGCAATGTCCTTGGGTATAGAAAGTATAGAGCAATAGCAAATGAGAGCTGAGCTCCAGGAACGAAATCGGACTTCAAGAGCATAATTTACTATGAACGCACCTGCATTATACCAGCAGTTTCTACACCTCAACTACGCCTCTTCACCCAGCTCTCCCGACTGCCTTGTGGTCCGCACGTCAGACAGCCTGACTCTCTCCAGATTTTACATCATATCCAGTGCCTTCCTTTCTGACTGAAATTTAACCAGTCAGCGTGGAATTGACACATAGGGATTTCCGTCTGGTGAGTTGCTAGAGAGCTTGCCTGGTTTTTGACTGCAGCATCTGCCCACAGAAAAACTCTGGCTCCCAAAGGGGACTGGATGCCATCTGACTGTTGTAACCTTGGCGGGGGAGGGGGGGTCCTTAGAGCGTCCCCTGGGATATACCAGAGGTGAGGTTTCTCCTCTGATTCGAGGGTTACACCAAGCTATGGCTGAGCTGAGGAGGTGGGAGGTCTTGGCTACTGCATTCAAGAACCAGTGAGTCTGAGGTCCTCAGTTTTCTGGGTGCACAACCCAGCCACTGTGAAGATGGGGCAGCGGATGGGGTGACTGGGGGCAGGTGCAGGGAGATTGGGTGTAAGGAGACCATTGTGCTTCTTATTCACCAAACTCATGGATGGTCAAAGATCTTTCAGTAAATGGTGAAAACCTTTTTTTGGATTATTTGGTTTTCCCAAGCTTTATAAACTTATGGTGAGGGCAAATGCTTATGAGAAACTAAAAGTGAGTTTATTATATTATTTATATATTATCATCTCCCCTCTGAGGATAACATAGAAGTGTAAATTAAAAAGCAGACAAATACCTATAAGGTGACTCGAGCTAGAGTGAGACTTTTGCCCTAAAACAATCGTCAGGCCTGGAAAGCAAATCTTGCAAGCAGAATCTAACTTTGTCTGGCCCACTGATACACAATGATCCTGAGTCCCTCCTTGACTGACAAAGTCTGTTTTGCTGAGGAATATCCTCCATTAATACTCATTTTATGTCATAATTATTCCAGGGGGTAACCAGTGCAGCTTTCTCCTCCTTTCAGGCAGTGCCTCTGTCCCAGTCCCACCGGCCGTCTGCTCACTTCACTTATCGGAACTCCTGCGTGGCCGGCGGAAGCTGGACACGTTCTCATTCAGTGCATAGATCCTTCGGGAGAACTCTTCAAATTCTCCCAGAACTTGTTCATCACACTCCACTGCCACGGCACTATCCACCGGGATGCAGTTAAAGGCTTCCAGCTGATCGCCGGAGGTGAAACCCGTGGCTTCCATCCCAATGATCTCCTCCGCCTGCTCCACAGTACAGCAGAGCTCAGGCTCGGACCCCGGGTGGTACTCCCCCGGGAGGCGGACGCTGGAGGAGCCAGCCTGCTCGCCGGGCAGCAGAGTGCCGTTGACCGTGGATGCGTGCCCGGAGAGGGCTTCTTCTTGTTCTTGGCCGGTGCTCATGCCCACGTGACTGCCGTTGAATCTGTCACCCAAATCAACTCCTTTTTTCTTGTTTTCTTTGGAGAAGTCCAAGGAGGTATCCAAGGAGGAGGACAGAGATGTTGTCTTTCTCTCAGATTCTCCTGCGGAAGGGATGGCGGGAACAGGCTGGGTGAGCGCTGAGTTGTAACTGGGAGGAGGGGTTTGGTACTGGAGTCTCTCATTCTCTGAGCTGGCCCGTTTTCGGTGTCCTTTGTCTGGGGACGGGATCCCCCCAGAGAAGCCTACGTCTGCACCTCCAAATATGGAGCTTTGTCTCTTTGGAACAGGGATGGCACTGGAGGTGTGGTGTCTGTCGCTAGAAGACAAACAAAAACGAGAAGTTACTTTCAACTTTTGAACTTAGCCTAAGCCTTCTGGATCCAGAGACAGGAAACAATATATTTAGGTCCGAGAGAACAAAAATTGATAATAATCAACCTTAGTATTAATTGTAGTGAACGAATGCAAGAAAAAACATGAGGCATTCTGAATTCAAGTTTGAGAGCTTTCTTCTAGAAGGATACAAGACACACTAAAATATAACCAGAGGACAGTCCTCAGGGTGGGATGGGGGATAGAAACCATGTCGTGTGGAGAAGGGCTGAAGTAACTGGAGGGATGGGATCTGAAAGAAAAGTATTTCAGGGACGTAATCAACCTCACGGGCCTGAAGCACTATCAATATTTTTATTCTTGTTTGAAATATTCAACTTAGGGCACCTGGGGGGCTCAGTCAGTTGGGCGGCTGGCCAACTCTTGGTTTCAGCTTGGTTTTGGGGTCCTGGGATTGAGCCCTGCATCAGGCTCCACACTCAGTGGGGGAGTCTGCTTCAGGATTCTCTCTCTCCCTCTCCCTCTGCCCCACCCGCTGCTCGTGCTCTCTCTCTCTGTTATAAATAAATGTTAAAAAATATTCAACTCTTATTTTATCTTCATAAAGCAGGCATCTTTATTTGGCAGAGAGGTTAAATGACTCTGATAACTTCAGGGAGGCGGAGTGGCAGGCTAAAGTAAAACCCATGACTCACGACTCAATGATCAACAGCTTTTCTGACACCGACATGCATTACAGAACCAACAGAGTGGGGACTTGAATCTGTATCTGTATCTAATAGAGATTATTATTGATCTAATATCTATATCCAGCTATCTTTTTAATGAGACATTAACTTGGAAAATGGCTTCTCCTTCCTAAGGCTGGTCACACACACACGGTTTACAATGCTTGGTCTTCAGTGCCCTCTCCTGAACCTGAGTTCCTTCTCAGGAAGACACTTTGGGGCCAGCAATAACAATCACGGCTTCGCTATACAAAGCATGTTAGTTTCTAAAGTGATTTTGCGTATCTCGTTTCACTTGGTTCTCACAAAAACCCTGTCAAGAAAGCAGGGTATCCACTATTACTCTGAAGTCTGAAACAATAAATAATCACGAGTTAATGGAAATCGAGAATCCAGACCCTGGAAATGATGGTCACAGCAGATGCTATGCTGGTGAGGCCAGCCTGGAGTACGGATCACGGTTCTAGATAGCACACTTGGATGGAGCCTGTCCGCTCAATACACCAATGTGAACAGACGGGGGCCAGAGACAGAAGGAGGTGCAAACACAAGATCCATTTGACTTGGAATCTTCAGGGGAGGACGCATCCAGAGAAGTGGCTTGCAAAACAGCAGCTATCAGTCAGGCAAAGAGGCTAGACATGAAACTGTACCTGCCCAATGACCGCTATTACACACGCCAGGCCTTGGGGAGGGCAAACGGATGCAAGACAGAGCAGGCCCTGCCTCTGAGGAGCTTCCAATCTTGCAGGAGAAAGTCAGCCATAATTACTGAAATAATACACGGTTAAGTTATAGTTGTGCTAAGTGCCCTGAAAAAGAAGGAAGGAGCTAGGATTCCTTCCACCACTGTCCTCAGCCACAAGCCCTCGGGCCAGCTGCTTGCTCCCTCTTCTCTCAGACTTTTTCTGATGCTCGATTATGCCCATGGTCTCAGACATCTAAGAAAGGGTTTTTCTTCTTGCTAAAGGCAACCACTGGGCTGCTAATCCCCAGGCTCATCAGACTCCATAGCTTGGCTGTAAGTGCTGGTGCCAGGAGAGATTTCATAATTAGGGGTGGTCACTGGTGCACATATAAAACAAGGCAAGTAGACCAGCAAATTACTGTTTTCAGTTCTCAAGAGAAACAAAACAGAGAAGAATCTACTGGCCTTAATTTAGGCTTTCAGTTAATATGTTGTCAAAACTCACAGTAATTGGGTAAGCCACACGTTTTTGCCTACCTTGTTGATTTTACTCTACCACTTGCTGACAGTATCCCTCTCTAAATGATTCTGCAGGGGCCCTAGGTAATCAGACTAAAACACAGCCTCAGCACTACCCACAGACCTTCTATTCCGGGCACACAGGCCAAGCTTTCAGTTGCCACCCCAGCCCAGAAGGGGGGGACACATCAAGTGCAGCAGCCTGGAACGCTGCAGGTGGTATCCTCGGCACACAGCCAGAGTCAGGTGCAGGAGCGCTTGCAGCTATGAAGGCTCAATGACAGGGCACCCTTGCCGCCCCCGCCCCACCCCCCCGCAAGCACCCTGTTCTGCTTCTCTGTTGGGCTGCAGGGGGGCTGACAAAAGGCAGGGCAGGAGGAACAGGCCTGGTCCCAACACTCTGTGCTGCCGACACAAGAGGAAAGGGGCTTTTGCAGCCCTCTTAGATTGGGAGACTCTGTGAAAGCTCTCCACAACTTTGTACAACAGAAAAGTAATCAAGCGTGACATCCCTCCCTTCGACTCTAATGGGAAGGGAGCTATGATTTTCTTGCCCATCAATAAAGCTGAACCCTCACATTTACCTGGTGGAAAAGGTAGGCAGGTGGATGGGTTATGTGGTTTGCTCAAGGCTGCCTCCAGAGCCCAGGCTGTTGCGTCTCAAATGGGAAAATCACATTCAAATTCAACTAACATTTGCTAACTGCCAGTGAGATGCCCAACCTCCAGCTAAATGCCATTACACAGGCTTTCTCATTTAACCTGCCCAGCCCGTCTCGAAGCGCTGGGGTGCTTCTCCAATTTTAATGGATGGATTCTAAAGGCTAGAGACTCAGTCATTTTCTGACATCCTGACATCCTTTCATCAAAAATCCTTTAGATTTTTATGAAAACCCAGGTAATGGGTATCTAGATAGTATCAGATACTATCTAGAAAGCCCAAGTAACAGTAAAATGTCCCCTCTGAAGAATGGTAAAGAAATGACTTACTACAGATAGCCAAGAAGGTCTCCATGTCTAGAATTTGCCCTTCAGTCACCACATATTGTCTTTCCCCCATTTGTAGTCACGTGTAACAAGACCGCTCAAAAGTTTTTTATTAAAGTCTTTCTTATAATTGTAAAGACGGCAAGTTGAAGAAAAGGGGATCTTCTTGACAATGCTGGGCTATCGATATGAACACGCATTACGGAACTGATACGGGGAAGAGATGATGGGACACTTAGTGGCATTGGGTCTGGGTCTCAGGCTCTCCTGCCCACACCCACGCCTCCCTGGGTCCTCTCTCACTGCGGGGCTGGCGGTGTCCCTGCGCTGGTGCTCCAGTCTGCAGGCCCTTGTCTTTGGTTAATGTCTGCTTCTGACTCGCTGTGCCTGCCTGTGGTGGATGGCCTGGGAACTGTGTGCCAAGTAAGAGGACGTAGGCTTGAGTGAGGGGCCAGCTACATCCAGGGCATAACATGCTTGACTTTATGAGTTTTGTAACATTAGTTTTGGCTGCTCAGAGTTAATTTTTTTTATTACTTCCAGGATCTTAGCAGTGGTCCAGATTTTTCAGATAGCTGAGTTCTAAACAGCTGAAATGCTGAACGATCACATTAAAATATATGCAAACACACATGCATTTTTAATTATTATAGTAATTTATACTCCCTGGAAAACTAAAAAAATATAAACTATATGAAAAATATAAATCACTCACAAGCCCATTACCTATCAAATAACCACAATTAGTTCCAAGTATTTTGTTTTTAGACTTTGATTTTACATATGTGTGTTTAATTAAGAAAGAGAAAAAACCTGAAGTTATGTTTGTGGTACACACACACACACACACACACACAAACACACTCACAATTCTGTATCCTGCCATTGGATTTTATTAAAACCTTTTGGTAAACAATTCTAAATGGCTACTCCACTGAATGGAATATTATTCCCTTATTTTTGTATTTCTAAAATTTTGCTATTAAAAAACTGCTACAAGCATCTCTAAAAACACAATTGAAGACTTTTAATAAAATAATTTGGATTTTAACATTTAATAGAAAGTTTCTAGAATGAACCTTTTTTACACATTTTAGTACAAGCTAAATTTTTACAATAAGAAAAGGGGCATTTTTACCTCTACCATTGCCTAAAATACAGAAAGGTAGCAATTAAAGAGGCAAATGATAGATCAAAAAAGAATGCCTGGAAGGTTTCAAGATTTTTTCTGTCTGATTACAGTCTGGCTTCATGACTATTTCACCTAGATGGAAGAAGAGGTCAAAATGCATAGATTTACTAATTACACAACCAATTTTTAAAGGCTGTTGACAATTTACTTATCAAATGAAATTGGTACATTATTTAAGTAGTGGCGATGAGTCACTAGTCGGGAATTTTTACTCTTAGAAACAACCAGAGTGAACCTGGATGTTTTGGGGAGGGGTGTATGCTGTAGGAAACATGGTCGCTTTGCTCCATCCTCCACTCTAGCCAGGGGTCCCTAAGTGCCCTGCGGCACTAGATCGGGAGCCCAAGATATGAGGTGTGGTAACTAGACCGAGTCCCCTAGCTCACCACACACATTCTCATTAGCCGTTTGCCTTGAGTGGATGTCTTTTCCAGCCTGGCTTAGGTTCAAACTGGAAACCTGGAAACATGACACCTGGGGTTTAATGCTGCAATTAAAAGGAATTTATTAAAAAACAACAACCCAAAGATACTGTAATTGCCAATTTACCAGGCCATAGTCTAGGGAATCACGGGATAGGTTGTTGAGTAACTGAACCACATCGGGACTGTTAGATTACTTCATGATCAACCTTTTGCTACAAGTACAAAAGGATACCCCAGAGTCACAAACAATAGCTTGATGAGGGAGAAGTCAAGTAGTCTGGAGTTCAGAGATCAAGGAGGGCAGTCTGCTTTAAATATGGCTTCTCTGGATCAAGTCTTCTCTGATGTCTCTAAATTAAGGTGATTAATTTCTTTCTCATTCTGTGCGTCCTGATTTATTGCAGTCAGTTACCTGTTGTTATGTCTCCAGCTACAGCTGGAGAC